GCGGTGAAAACTTAGGACGATTCTAAGGGCACGGGACTGACAGAGGCCCAAAGAATTTTAGAACATTAAGAAAAAAATGTTTAAGTACATACATGAAGATGTGTATAAGTGACATCAATGTGTGTGTGTGTGTGTGTGTGTGTGTGTGTGTGTGTGTGTGTGTGTGTGTGTGTGTGTGTGTGTGTGTGTGTATGTGCGTGCGTGCGTGCGTGCGTGCGTGCGTGCGTGTGTGTGTGTGTGTGTGTGTGTAGCAGTATGTTCTCCATTAAAACTAATCAAAAGCACAGGAAATAATGCACATTGGCACACAGTTCAAAGGGAATGACTAAAGTTGGATAATTAAAGGAATTTAGAAAGGGAATGTTCGTTGTCCACAGAGTAAAGAAAAACAGCCTCAGACCAGCGTACTTGCAAGGTCGCCGCTGTACGCCGAGCCCTACATCTCCACTATCAATCAATAATGACAATCATAACAAGATGGAACAGCTCAGCCTGCCATTCTCTGAGCACATTGCTATTGACATCTGGCACAAGTGAGGATTGTAAGTGTGTTTAAGAGAGAGAAAAGGAGAGGCAGACCGGTGAGAAGATAAAGAAAAACATCGGCAAGCAATCGGAGGGGAGAGGAGTAACACATACTTTGTAACTCGAATCACCTAACGTGTTGTGTGTAATCAATGCACATGTCTTGTTTGTGTGTTCTGTTTGTGTATTGAAGGATACGGTAAATAGGCTGTATTTATATAGCTCTGTTCAGTATTTGCAACCTCTCAAAGCGCTTTATATAAGTCAGCATTCATACAGAGGCAGAAGCTGCCAGTAAAGGTTCCACCTGCTCAGGGACAGTGGTGGAAGAAGTACTCAGATACCTTACTTTAGTAAAAGTACTAATACCACAGTCTAAAAATAAGACAAAAGTCCCAAAGATTTACAGATGTGTTAGCAACAAAATGTGTCAAAAGAAAAAGTATTCATAGTGCAGAATGTCTCTTTTAAAAATGTACATTAACAATTAACAAATACATATAAACACATTTTGGACACTTTTTGACTCGATACTTGTATTCATAAACACATCATGTTACTTGTGTGAGAAGTAACTCGGGAATTGTCAAATAAATGAAGTGGAGCAAAACATACAATATTTCTTTCTGAGATGGTGGTGGAGTAAAAGTATAAATTAGTAGCAAATGGAAATCTTCAAGTAAAGTAGAAGTACCTGAAATGTGCTTACATACTTAGTGGTACTTTCCACCACTGCTCAGGGAGACTAACATTCAAACACTTCACACACTGTTGGATACCGGGATCAATCTGGGATTAATCTGAAGTATCTTCAACGAGGACACTTTGACATGTTGACTGGGGATAGAACCACCACTCTTCCCTGAGCCACAAAGATTTATAGACAGAATAATGTATTTGAAATTGTACCTCTGTTTTAATGTTTTCCAGCTGACTTTGCGTCAGCCATTTCATGTTAGTTTTGACATTTCTGCCAAGAGACAGATGCTGGAGATCTCTCAGTAAGTCTAATTACAACCATTACCTTCTGAAGCCTTTCAAGAGTTCAGCTAAGCACACACACATTTATTTTTGCAGCAGTTGACAGTTATTGTGTCATTTTTTTTATAAAAGAGGGAAATATTCCACAGAAAAGTGCAATGCTTCTTCCATTACAAGAACACTTTGTGCTGCACAGAGCAACATGGAAATAAAGGATGCCCTATTTTTTGCCAGCAGCAAAACAAATTGTTATGAGGTTGTTTAGCATTTTTGTTCTGGCAGCTTCTTCCAACGCAGGGAAGCTTCAGTGCACAATCAGCCTGGGATCAAGAAGTGTTAAGGCACATTAAACTTCATGAGCAGAAGTGTAGAGTGCACTTTGGCGACCCTATAAAAGAATGTCAAACCACAATAGTAGCTGTAGTTACTAAATATGAAAAGCTTATTTACATGGATGTTACGAGCCTTACTGAATCATAAAACTGCAAAACACAGTATAAACACACACACCCGTAGGTTGTGAGGACAGCAGGAGGCCTTGTTGTGCTTTTACCCAAAAGGTGCTCGACTTTGACAGTCATCTTGGACCCAATTATGCATCAATAATAGAAAATTCTTCCCAGCTGTTTAGCGATACAATGTTTTCAGCCACAGGGCAACAACTTATCGCTGTAATTAAGCCTCCGTTTGACTTCATTTGCTCTGACAGTGTGGAGCATGACCGGCACGGCTCAGACAGGCAGGCCTTTTCCTGGTTACAGCGAGGGAGGAATTCTGCTTTAAGAGTTTTCCTTCGCCATGAGGGGTTTTATGAAGCCGTTAGGCGCCATCACTCATCCTTTTCATATGCATTATCAACGAAGCTAAACTCCTTGGGTGATGAAAATTATCCTGTATGGATTTTTTTGTGACTTTCTTGGCAACCCGTTTTTGTTCCTGAGGCAGAGTCGTTTTTAAATACTGTCATTTACTTTGTTTTGTTTTTTTTAAAGGTGACCTCTGCTGATTGTGTTACTATTTATTATGAATGTTGATTTAATATCGTAGCCCGGTTTTGCTGCAGGCAATGTTGTGAAAAGACCAAATTGTAATATTACTTGTTATTCAAATAATAACAATGTACTGCAACAGCACTTCTGTTGTTACATTAATCACATAAAGCAAAGCACAGCCTGGAGCGCAGCCGGAGGTCTCCTTCAGAGTCCTGCTGGTTTTAGCACGAACTCGGCCGGTGACAAAAGGTGACCGAGCCTTTTCTCATCACAGCTCGCCAAATGTTGCAAACGAGCTGTCAGGCTTATCACAACAGCTTCCTCTTTAAAGCACTCCTCAAAGCATCCTTGTGTTCTATAGAAACGTATTAGACGGAACACTGGGGAAATGACAATTCACATTTTTATTGCATTACGATAAAAATGCATTAATGTTTCCTCTCAAATCCCTCCCATAATGTGCTCATTTCAAGAAGGGGAAAGATAAAATGATACAAATGCATCTTTTTTTCTCGAATAGTGTTTAACAGAACCCAAGTTGAGGCATAAATTCAGTTAGCGGCTTAGCGTTTGAAGTGGTATTGACATTTTAAACTCAATTCCAAACCATACAAATAGAATATTGGATTAGCTCTGAATAATATTTCAAGTCACAATTTCAATCCGTGTGGCGTGGTGGGCAAACACAGCTGAGGAAATGAGTGCTGAAACGTTCAGACATGCCTTTTGGCTGTGTGGATGTAATGTTAGTATGAATAGTTACACACCTGCTTTCTTAAATCAGCATTTTAATACCTGGTGTCTGGTACTGAACACTTCATCTTGTGTAAATGCTACACAGCTTCAGTAAATAGCATCTTATAGCTTAGCAACAGTGTTTGAAGAAGTACTCAGGCCCTTTACTTAAGTAAAAGTACAAATACTATGGTCTTAAAATACTCCACTTCAAGTAAAAGTCCTGATTTCCAACAATACTTAAGTAAAAGTACAAATGTATTGACATCAAAAGATACTTAAAGTACAAAAAGTAGTGCAGAATTATTGTGCAGAAAAGTAGTCATTCTGCACAATAACCCATTTTACAATAATATAAAGTACTCAAGTATT